CTTGCGCCATCACAGTCTGTTAAAAGTGTCCAAAAAATAGAAATTTAATTTTGCATCTAAAAAACATTATATATCCTCGCTCTTGTTAAAAATCTCAAGATCACTTATTGTTATGTGTTGTGATCTGTATGGTGTATTTTTTCACTAAAATGTATTTTTAATTTCAGGGATGAATCTTCTTCTGCAACTTTTTACTTCAGAGAGGATACTGAGCCAGGAATAAAAAAGCATCCATCATGTGACATAGCCAAGCCTGTGTCTGATAATCTGGAGGAGGTTTGGATGTACTACAGGCCGTTGAAGTCGGGCGAGAATGAGTTTCCTCTAAGAAACAAGCAAGTGAGAAAGTCACCTTACTCGTTACTCATCTGATATCCAAAACATAGTCTTCCTTTGCTAGTCATTCCCAGGACCCACCATTAATCATTATGCTTTTATGTATTTAGTGTTAGTGACCGTTAACTCTACATCTTTTTGTGGATAATTCCTGGAATGAATTGTGGTCCTGGCTAATGCACCATTTAAGGAACTGTCTGTGCTCCATGCAAACGATGATTCAAATTTCATTTATTTTTCAGGTAAAGCAAAGAGCAGATGAATGCATCAGAGCCTTGGATATTCTCTTTGACATTAATTCAGGAAAGTCTGTGGAGAACGTCTTACAGTGTGACTTTGATTTGTCAACAATGGAGGTGAATATTGCAATAAGTTTAAACTCAATTAGTTTAGTTCAAATTGAGAACTGCTCAATCATATTCTGCGAAGTGCTGATGACAATGAGCCTTCCTGGATTTCAGAACTCCATGGACTTGTGTAGAATAGCAATTATGGGACATTCCTTCGGAGGTGCGACGGTGATCGAATGTTTGTGCAAGGACGTCAAATTCAAGTATGTTTTGAGCTGATTAGGATGCCCCGTACATATCATGACAACTATGAGTTATGAGATCTTGTGGGTAGATGATAAATGTTTACTAAGCTGTCTGAGGAACGATGTTCCTTGGCCTTTACTTTATCCTTCACACTGGTGTCTGTGAAAACCTCTGCAAGTTTTCTGATTATTTTAGATGCATTTTCATACATACTGGCATGCTACTTGAAATCTTGTCATGCACTCTAAATAGCAATATTGGGAGAATCATTTAAGAAAAATTCAATTTTTAGCATGATTTTTCAGGAACAAATTAAACTAGCCAAGAAAGACACATTCACTTGGTAAATTAATTACAGTAGCATGTTGGTAGCACCATGTAGTTTGTAAGAAGAGATTAAAAAACGAAATAATCATCCTGGCATCCTCAATGTTGCTTCCTAGGTGTGGTGTGGCACTGGACACCTGGATGTTTCCTCTGGATGAGGAGATCTTCCCAGGAGTGAAGCAGCCAATCTTTTTTATAAACTCTGAAAAATTCCAGTGGATTGGGAATATCATCCGCATGAAGAAGTTGGACTCTGCTATCTTTCCTAGAAAAATGATAACCATCAAGTCAGTCTCTTTTTTTTTTCAAGTCAAGTTGTAATTCAGTCTGAAAAATGTGCTTCATTTAATTGTGCTGTACTATTTTTGGCAGAGGGACGGTCCATCAGAGCTTCCCAGATTTCACATTTCTTACTGGGAACTGGATTGGAAGGCTCATGAAGCTAAAAGGAGATATTGATCCACACATAGCCTTGGATCTTTCTAACAAAGCAACTTTGGCTTTTCTTCAACGCCACTTAAGTGAGTTATTTACGTTTTTGGGTTTGTGTGCTCCAGATCACTTTCTGTTTATTTAACTACACTTAAAAGGTTTGGGGTCAACAACATTACATCACATCCCCCAAACATTACATCACATCACGTCAGTAGTGTGCATAATACTGTTTTTGCAATATCTAACATCTTTTTATTTTCTAGATATGGACAGAGACTTTAATCAGTGGGATCCTTTAATTGATGGAAAAGATGACAACTTGATTCCAGGAACCAACATTACTATACCACAGTCATCTATTTAATCGAGTAACATGAAATGTGTATCAGCACAATGATTTTGTAATCTTGCAAATGCACATTTAACAAATGGGAGTCAGAAGGTTACATGTTTGAGAAAGGGCCAATCTATCATTATGCAAAATCTGTTTTTGAAATTTCATAAGAGAACATTTTTGACTGCTGTGTATGAATACGATTGAATTTGCACTATGGATTAGACTGTGAGCTGATGTAAATTTCATTGCGCATTTTTTAAATGGCAAAACTACACAATCTATACAGGATGACTTGTAAATGGTACCACTTGCTAACAGCCACATATTTGCAAAACAGTGCAATAGACTTTAAAGTTTTTAACACTTCACCATCCTTTATCGTGCCTTAATGTTTTTAGAGTTATAGAAAGTGGGTTTTTATATCAATGCAATGTTTTCAATAAATCTGTGACTGATGTTATAAGGGGACAGTTAGCAGACAACCATTTGGAAATATGAAATACCATACTGTGAAATATATTCATCATAGCCTGCTTGTTTCACCCTAACAATCTGGAAAGTAGAAAGTAATCCCATAGTTTTCCTCTGAATCTGTTACTAATTTCCGGATTTGTAAGTCAATAGAATTGTTTTTACACTACTAATTCCTGGTCAGTGAAAAACTCTGAAATGTCAGCATTTCTATGGTTTCCAGTAAAGCCACAAAATGCAAAGTTGTTTATATGTATATGGGATTTTGTTTATTAAACCGAATATATGACTTTTGGTATTTGTCCCCCCCCCCCATACAAAAAGTCTTCATAACACTAAGTAATGTTCATACAAGTGCTACACACAAAAGTTGCATATTTATTAAAGAAAATTTCAACAAGTTTCCACAAAATGCAGCAAATTGTTTTCACGGCAATGTAAACATTTAAGAGCATTTGAACAAGAAACAATAGCCCGGGATAAAGTACAATTTAGAAACATGGTTTCAAAATGCAATAAGGAATCCAGCGAAAGGCTGTGTAATAACAAAAAACAACAGCCTTCATCTGCAAAGAGAAATCACTGAACAGTAATGGAAGGAGAAAACAAAACTACAGCTCTATGAACAACAGAAGTGCTTATTGTTGCTATTATACGGTTTATGGTATTAGTTAAGACAAAAAAACCTTAATACATCAAGCTGTTGGCAATATAAATGTGATTAACCAAAAAAAAAAAAACCACATTACATAAGTAACTTGCCTCTTAGGATACATCAACCATCTA